TACATAATGTAAAAGTGAGTATTGAAGTTCTGGAGTCTGGTAAAGTTTAAAGTGAATTTCAGTGTTTTTGAGATCAGTTTGGGCAGGGGTAGGAAGTGTAGAAGAAATAGGTGTTTTTTTTTTTTTTCTTACTTATTTAAATTTATTTTATGCTTTCAATCACTATACATCACTTAGCTTGTGAAGTGAATTTACCCAACACAAATACACTTCACACCAGTCCAGTTGAGTACAATATATACATTATCATCAACAGATAATAATCTATTTCTGTTTCCCATAATGTCTTAACTCTCTTTTTCTCCTTATTATCTTTCCTCCATAGGTCATGTGTGCATACCAGAAAAAGAGAGAAAAACAGAAAGAGGGAAAGTGAGAAATCACTTCCCAGAAGAATGGCCATGTGACAATCTCTTCTCCATTCTTCCCTTGGGATTTTGGGCATGTGCATACGGACCAGTGTGATTTTTAAGCTGCTAGGTTCAGGGCTTTAACTGTGGTTAGCCTAATGTGAATTCAATGCCTGAATCACCATACCACGTGCTTGTCCCAGAAGAGCATTCTGAATGGAGAATGGAGAATGTAGTTATGTAAGCTATTCATGGAAGAAGTGCATTTTTAAATTTTTATTTATTTATTATCATCATGATCTTGTTTATATTACATTGAATTGCATGTAACATTACAGTGTATTACATTGCTTTTTCAAAAGGGAATGCTATGCATGTCTGTCAATACAGAGGAAGAAGTGCATTTTTCACAGAGTCAAGTCATGAGTTTGAAGCTATAAAATTTCAACTTCATTCTCTGTTGGGGAGTCACTGGGGGCTAGATATGAGATGGTAACCCTACTTTTCTGATCCTATTAGTTTTTTTAGAATTATTTTATTTAACTTTGGCTTCCTCTTTCTTTCTCTCTTTCTTCTTCCTTCCTTCCTTCCTTTCTTCCTTCCTTCCTTCCTTCCTTCCTTCCTTCCTTCCTTCCTTCCTTCCTTCCTTCCTCTTTCCTTCCTTCTTCTTTTTTCTCTTTATCTTCTTCTTTTGTTTTCTTTTAGTTTGACTAGAGAGGAACAGAAAGAGAGAGAAAGAGAGGAAAAGTGAGGAAGTAAGTTGCTAGGTCTGGGCCTTGAACCATAGTTGGCCATGAGGGAGTTCAGGGCCCCCAACCATCATGCCACCTGCCAGCCCCCTGATTCCATTAGTTTTTAATGAAATATAATTCCATAGACATTTACCCTTTCTTTAAATATTCTCTATTGTGTTGTATTTTAATTCTTCCTTTTATGAATTGTGGATTAATTGACTTTGCTCATTGTTCTCTTGCATAGTTCAATCTGTAACATATCCAGGCACCATCAATACATCGCACTATTCTGTATCAAAAATGTTAATTTTAGTGAGTTCATTAATTATGTTGCGCATACAGGGATGTAACTGGACTTGGCATGCCTTAGGACCAAGGAGTTTTCTCTTCATCACCATCACTCAGGGTCACCTGAGTGTATTAGATCTTTTCCCCTTCTTCATGCACATTTTCTTCTTTTTATTTATTTTTTTGGGAGGTGTTTACCATAGGATGTGTGTGCATGTCCAAGAGAGACAAAGAGAGAGAGGTGGAGAGAAAGTGAGAAACCATGCCCTAGATGGAATGGGTATGCTGCAATCCCTTCTTCCCCATTCTCCTCTCAGAATTTTTGGCATGGATGCACATGTACTCAGGGTGATATTTAAGCTACCAGTTCCAGTACTGGTAGCTTAAATGTGGAAGTTGGCTATGTGGGAGTCTAGTGGCTAAACCACCATGTCACTTACTGACCCTTTATTTTTCATTTTTATTTACTTATTTGTTAGAGGTTTTTCCCTTAGTGTGCTGAGCTCACCAGAGAGAGAGAGACAGAGAGAGAGACAGAGACAGTGACATGGAAAGTGAGAAATCACTCCCCAGGATGTATGGTCATGCCATAATTCCATCTCCTCCATTCTCCTCCCTAGATCTTGGGCACACATGCACATATGCCCATTCTGAGTTTCAAGTCACAAAGTTCAGAACTTGAACTATGGTCATCCATATGGGAGTATCGCGACATAACCACTATGCCATCTGTTGGTCCCCTTCAATTTTTTTTTGAGAGGATTTTGCTATAGGGTGCATGTGCTCACCAGATAAACAGAGAGAGACAGAGAGACAGAAAGCAAGAAATCCCCTCTCCCACTCCCAGAAGAAGAAATTCTCTTGGTCCAGGTTCCCTTGTATTTTTGTCTCTTTAAAACAAATTGTGTACTCTTTACAAGCCAAATAATGTATAGTGAGATAATGCTTAAAAATATTACAAGACCGGGACCAGCAGTTAGTGTAATGGCTATGTCGCTGAATTCCCATGTAGCTGACTGCAGTTTGAGTCCCAGACCCAGTAGCTTAAACTCATGCCAGGCACATGTGCGTGCGTGCCCAAGATTCTGAAAGGAGAATGGAAGAGAAGGGATTGCAGCGTGGTCATTTTCCCGGGGGGTGATTTCTCATTTCTATCTCTCTGACTCTCTGTCTTTTTGGTGAGTGCACGCACCCTATAGACTAATAAAAAGAAGTTAAAATAAAATAATAAACAGATTATGAAACAGTCATGTTAAAATGAAGGTCCATGTTTCTTGTTTATGGAAAACTTAGCAGCTGGAATTTGGGCACCATTTCTACATGTTTTAGGGAAAAGATGATTTTATATTGTGGAATGGCCTCATAGCCATTCTTTTCCTAATCAATGTGACTGAGGACACCAGAATTCATAGTTTGGTGTGTGTGTGTGTGTGTGTGGTAGAGCTTTGTGTGTGTGTGTGTGTGTGTGTGTGTGTGTGTGTGTTGTAGAACATGAGCAGGCTTCAGAACATGTTTACCTGAGCTCTTAAGTTCCAAATTGTGACTCTACCACTATGACTCTACTGGCCCCCCCCAAATTGTGACTCTTATAATACAGATGTTTGAGTATTTACCAACAGATAAAAATTAAGAGAGATATATTGTGATCTGTGGAAGACCTTTCAAATAAAATACTGTGTGATTTCACTAACTAAGCTATCTGAAATAGTCAAAATCATAGAATCAGACAATAGAATGGAAGCTTCCAGGGGACTGGTGAAAGGGAGTAAGAGAGAGTTGTTTTTTAATATATATAAATTTACAGTTATTGAGAAAGTTGGTGGCATTGTGGATAAGGCTACTGAATACAACATGGCAGACAGCACAGATCAAGTCCAAGACCTGGTTACCTGGAAAACATGTCAGGCATGTGTACATCATGCCCAATATGAAAGAAGAGTGGATTGTGGCATTCTTCTTGGTAGGTGATTTCTCACTTTCTCTCTCTCTCTCTCTCTCTTTCTGATGAGTGCATGTGCCCTATGACAAAACAAAAACAAAAATAAAGCTAATTGAAAAATTGCATTACATTCCATAATTGTATACCATGATTATTTGTAAATAGATAAGAAAGCTAATTCTGTAGACTACTTGACAAATGAGAAGAAAGAAGCAAGATAGGAAGTCCTAAGCAGAGATGCCACTGTAAAAGCCTAAAGGGGATTTGATCCATACAAAAATAAAGAAAATAACTTTGTAATTAAAAAATACTGACTCTGGCATTTCAACTATGTGAGAAATACCTGTTTCTGTGAAATTATCCATCTTATTTTCCTCTTTCCATGTAGTCACCATGGAACCAAGAAATTATACACAAATTTCAGAATTTCTTCTTCTAAGACTTTCAGAGTAACCAGAATTGTAACCCCTAATATTTGGGGTTTTCTTCTTCACGTACCAATTCACTGTGTGTGGAAGCCTGCTCATCATCCTGGCCACTAACACAGACTCCCACCTGCACACCCCCATGTATTCCTTCCTCTCCAACCTGTCCTTTGCTGAGATCTGTTTCACCTCCACCACCATCTCAAAGATGCTGGTGAACATTCAGACACAGAGCAAGATCATCACCTATGCATGCTGCATCACCCAGGTGTTCGTTTTTCTTATATTTGTAGCATTGGATGACTTCCTCCTGACTGTGATGGCTTATGACCAGTATGTGGCCATCTGTCACCCCCTTCACTACACGGTCATCATGTCCCCCTGGGTATGCAGAAAGATGGTTCTGGCTTCCTGGATTATGTGTGTACTGTATTCCCTGTTACACAGCTTAATGTTTTTGTGGCTGTCCTTCTGTTCAAATTTGGAAATCCCCCACTTTTTCTGTGAACTTAATCAGGTGGTCCACCTTGCCTGCTCTCACACCTTTCTTAATGACATGGTGATCTATTTTGCAGCTGTGCTGCTGGGTATTGGTCTCCTCACTGGGATTGTTTACTCTTACGGTAAGATAGTTTCCTCCATTCGTGCTATCTCATCAGCTCAGGGGAGGCACAAAGCATTTCCCACCTGTACCTCTCACCTCTCAGTTGTCTCCTTATTTTATTATACAAGTCTAGGAGTGTACCTTAGTGCTGGTGCTACCCACAGCTCACTCTCAAGTACAGCAGCTTCAGTGATGTACACTGTGGTCACCCCCATGCTGAACCCCTTCATCTACAGTATGAGGAATAAAGACATAAACAGGGCTCTAAAAATATTCTTTGGAGGGAAATTGTGAAATAATCATTGGCCTGGAGCTAAAATAATGTCTATGATCCCAGAGTTTAAAGCCTTGGAGCCAAAAAATTTGATTCTCTGATCAGATTGTGAAAGTACATGTCTATACAATTTAAGTAACACTGTATTTTACTTTCTACATTCATTTTGAGCCAAATTTTTCTTTAATATCATTATACTTTCCCAATGTTACTCCTAGCCTTGTATCAGAAATATTTAAAAGTATCATTAGCTCATAGAATGACATGCAACTCATTTGAAAATATTCTATTTATTAATGAATTATTTTTATGTAGTTTTTGTTATTATTGTTATTATTTTATTTTTGAAAGAGAAGGAGAGCAAGAGAAATGGAAAGTAAGAAAGCATGTCACCAGTTTTGGGACTTGAACCATAATTGGTCATGTGGGAGGCCAGTGCCTCAACCACCATGCAACTTACTGTCTCCCTATATGCCACTCTTAAAAATAATGTATTTTCCAATGATGTATATAATTCTGAACAATTTTTGTATAAAGTTACTAAAATAGCTTTTTTTGGGGGGTTGTATTCTGCCTATGGAAAAAGAGGCAGACAAGAAAAAGTAACTAGAAAACAAACAAACAAAACCCATTATACTTGGCAACTAATGCCATTAATGTAATTTAGAGTATTGAGAAATCTGAAATGGCAGATTTGCATGTAGGTGTATGTCCTTGCTTCCAATATCTCTATTTGAAATGTAGATATTAATATAGTGGTGTGTTTGATGATCTGTAATTCACTCATTAGAATCCTGTTCTGTTATTCAGCTCAAAGTTCACATTGCCTACTATAATCACTATCAAAAACTGATGATCTAGCCCAGACTCTCTGATGCAGTCATAGCATATCAGAGTACAGAGTTGGAAGCCACTTGAGGACTCTGGTTCAAGTCCTGAGATCAGTCAGCCTGAAATCTTACTGGATGGATGTGTGGCCAGGACCTGAGGACTGGAGGAATGGAGTCTCAGCCCACACCCCACAGAGAGTGCTTCTCTCTGTGTCTGTCTCCCTTTTTCTCCCTCTTTCTCTATCTCCTCATGTGCCCCAACACATTGTATCATGAATGAAAAAAAAAAAATATCAGTTGCCTGAGTCAAAATGTTTTGTATATGGAAAGGCAAATCTAAACAAATAGTTGAACAAATATGGCCTTAGAGTCAGAGATAGCCTTAAATATGGTGAAGTGAACATCTGGATCACACATTGTTTTAACTATGCACCATGTTTCTTGTTCATCTGTTCATCTACTTGTTGAAGGATAAAAAATTGGTGTCCATATGGAAGGGTGTTTATTCATTGGGGTGAAGGATTGATTGGTGTGTTTTATGCTATCTCATCAAATATCTTTCTGTTTCTCCCTGAATACTTCAGTGTGAGATGTGATTACAACCTGTTGGAGTGCTTAAAATGAATTATCTCCTCCTCTTTAAAATATTGTCATAACCGCTGAAGGGACAGTGAATGAACATATATCAATATTATCAAATATATCTTTTTTTGTGTTCAAGAATATGTTCTAAATTCATGAACAGAGTTTGAATTGCTGTCCCACTCATTTGGTTCAGAGTCACAAGTTTCCTGTAAAAATATTCATAACCCTCAGATTTTTCCTAATTACCCTAATTTTAAGAACACCAATGCAGTCACTTTTTCTAATTTTTGTTTGTTCTGTCATAGAGTAAGTGTGCTTGCCAGAGAGAGGCAGAGAGAAAGAGAGGGAAAGTGAGAAATTGCTTCCCAGGGGTGATGACCACACTGCACTCCCTTCTTCTCCATACTCCTCTCAGGATTTTGGACACAAGCACATATGCCCAGTGTGATTTATCAAGCCATCAGGTGTGGGAGTAGAACCTTGCATTCAGTCATGTGGGATCCAGCACCTGAACTGCAACATCACCTTCTGCCCATGTCAATTATATTTTAACTCCTGGATGGTGAACATGCTAATGACTGTTGGAGGCAAGAGAGTTCACAGACAACTTGTAATAAAGATAAATTCATCACACTTTAAACTTGATCTTTCAAGGACAGCAAATCAACAGAAAAATTTTCCTTTCTTGCCAGACCAGTGTCCACAAGGGAAATCAGCTACTAAGATTTTGTAATTATAAGGAGGAAACAAACCTAATGGGCAGGTATAGGGAGCTGCAAATATTTTATCTGTCATTGTCCCTCATGGAGGACAACCTTGGCTTGGACAGGACATGGATGATATTTCTGGAATCTTCAGACTGGCTAGGGTTCCATGCTTAATTCTTTCATTGTGTATTGTTTGGGGACAGAGCTGCAGTCTCCAGTACCATCCATTCAGGGAGAAATTCACCCTTCCAGAAGACTGTCCTCTCCGAGAGCCTATGCAGGTGAGTCTGAGAGCCCAGTAGGTATAGCAGGTCCTGTTCAGAGAGAATGGATGCCAAGGACATCTACCTGAGATCACCTGAGAGTTAATCCAACCTAGCAAGAGCTGAGAGATTGATATGTTTTTGTTCCTTGTCTGACAACATTATTTGTCATTAATTTATTTAATATGTTAAAAAGTCATGTGTCTTTCAGACTTAGCAATGCAGGCATCATTATGGACAATTTAGTGATGGGAATAGACTTCCAACTGGATGAGGGTGAAGAAGGAATGGGAGAAATAAAATGATTTCAGTCAAATTAGAACATGTGCACACAAATTTTCAGTGATA